CCAGAGATATAGCTCAGCCTGGGTCCAATGTCCAGTACCAAGCAAAGAGGGGGAGGATGATGCCATTCTGTCTACAGTCTGGATTGGTTAGCTCCTGAGTGTATATTGTGGGTAGCATGATCAGTCTGGAAAGGTAGACTGGATTCTAGTTCATAAACATATCTAAGTCATGAAAATAAAAATAATTTTAGGATTGAAGGACTTTTTTTGGTCCTGGTGAACAAACCTCACATATGCTAGGCAAGAGCTCTACCACTGGGCTCAAATCTTTTGTTGAAAGATTTTAATTTTGTTGTTGTTTTTGTTTTTGAGACAGGGTCTCACTATGCAGTTCAGGCTAGCCTTGAACTCACTGTTTAGCCCAGGCTGGCTTCAAACTCGAAGCAATCCTCCTGCCTCAGCCTCTTGAGTGCTGGGATTTTAGGCATGGGCCACCACACCAAGAAATTTTGAAAAAATTAATTTTATTTTTGTTTTTGTTTTTTGAGATGGGGTCTCACTATGTAGTTGAGACTGACCTGGAACTCACTATGTAGCCCCGGCTGGTCTTGAACTCACAGTGATTCTCCTGCCTCAGCCTCCCGAGTGCTGGGATTACAGGTGTGCGCTATCACGCCTGGCCAAAAATTAATTAATTTTAAAATTTGTTTTTGGAGACTAGGTCTCAGCATTTAATTCAAGCTGCCAGTGAATTCACTAGCCCAGACTGGTTTTGAACTCTCAGAGAACCTTTTGCCTGAGCCTCCTGAGTGCTGGGATTACAGCTTTATGCCTGGTTGGTTTAAGAATTTTAAGCAGGAGTAAAAGTCATGGTAGATGACCTGGAATAGAATTTGGATTTGGAGCACAACACAAGTAACCTAGATAGGGAGGCTCTTTTAGGTAGTCTGGCCTAGAGATGGGTCTGAAATAGGGCTAGAGAAAGGAAGACAATTAAGTCTATGGCTTGTGACTACCTGACCCATGTCTGTCACTCTTAAACATACTCAGGGTCCATTGGTAGAAGGGTAATGTCATTAAGTTACATGACTTGGAGATGAGAAGAACAGACACAGTATAGGGACACATTTTGTTAGCTCCCAGGGTCTGTTGGAACACAGTCCAATTTATACTAGTGGAAGATTCTTTCCCTTAGGGCTAAAGTTAAGGTAAAGCTGTGGTCAGGTCTGTCACATGATGTTTCTAGAGATTTAAGGTATTACTAAAATGAATAAGAGTGGTATGAACTTCTAAGGGGAAAAAGGTATGTCTGTATTCTTAGTATTTAATTTCCTACACCCTCCTTTTAGCTTCTAAATAGCAAATATGGTAAAGGAGTAGAGAGGAACAAGCCTTAGTGTAGGACACAGGAGAGAAGGAACAAGATAGTCGGGCAGGTCTCAAGAATGAGGGTTTTTGGGCTGGGGATTTAACTCAGTGGTTCTGCCCCCCGCCTCTCAAGCGCAAGGACCTGAGTTCAACCCATGAAAAAAAAAAAAAAAAAAAAAAAAAAAAAAAGTTTGTTTTGTTTTATTTTTTTTGCCACTAGTGAAGATGTCTCTGTTCAGAAATTAGAATTGCAAGCTGGATATGGTGGTACACACCTGTAACCTCATCTCTTGGTAGGAGCACAAGAGGATCACCACTAATCCGAGGCCAGCCTGGGCTACATAGTGAGTTCAAGGCCAGTCTGAACTACATAGCAAGATCCTGTCTCAGAAAACAAAAACAGACAAATTAGAGGTTAACCTCTAAAATGGATTTATGTGGCATTTTAGGATTAGTGGTACCATGGTTCCAGGAGCTGCTGTGGGTATCAAAAATGACAAGTACCAAACACATTGTTTTGGTTGGAAAGGGTAGTTACGAGGCAAGTGATACCAACACTTTCTAACTCAAGCACCAAATATCAAACAACTAGTACTAAGACAAAACTTTCATATCAAAATGCGTCAAGTACCGAATTGGGTAAGTTCCAAAATAGCCAATTACCAAGGTATGACTCTATAATAGTAAGCAAACATATGAATAAGTTGAAAATTGTTATTGAAAGCCCAGAAGAGCTATAATACTCTAGGGAAAGTAAAAAAAATCAAACCAAGGGCAGTTCTCGGTCAGCATCCAACACAGATATTTTGGTAGGAGTCCAGTGAGACTGTGGAGATGAGCACATATAAACAGATAATTAGAACATAATGTGGTATTATAGTTGTGCACTGGCACAGAGTAGGCAATCATTTACATAGAGAGGTTAAATAGATTTTATAGAGGTGACATTTAAGTTGATTCTTGAGTGGGTAAGTAGTTACCAGGGCCAAGAAGCAGGGGAAAGACATTTGTAGGCAGAAGGAATGGAGTATGCAAAAATCAGGATGTGTAGGACAGAGCATGCCATGTTATTACACTGTGCCTTTTAGGGGAAGTTTATAAATATGATTTTAGAATGTGTAGCCGGTGTGGTGTCATATGCCTATAATCCCAGCACTTGGGAAGCTGTGGCAGGAGGATCATCATGAGTTGGAGACTAGCCTGGGCTACATAGTTCAAGGCCAGTCTGAACTATATAGCAAGACCCTGTCTCAAAAAACAAACAACATGTGTTTAGCTACACTGGAAAGTAGCTAAACACCTACACTTGCATTTGGGGAATAGAAGCTGAGATTTGGAGATTTTAACTAGCTCAGCGTCATGCAGTATGAGTCAGAACTTTAGACTGGATTCCCAAAATGGGAATGCCAAGTCTTATGCCCCAGGAAATTCTGTGTCATGGTAATAGATTGCTATGCATTCACGAGTATTGGGGTTCTTTTGATTCCTTGGAACAAAATCACACACAACACTGGCTTGTTGGTGTTTGCAGTATCAATCCATGCACTCTTCCCCACATGCCTTATCATCATGCCTTGAAAAATTGAAGAAAACAGAGATTCTTCAAAAATTGAAGAAAAAAGGGTGCTAATTCTGTCAAGATAAAGAAAAATAAGGGTAATATAAAGTTTGAAGTTTGCTGCAGCAATAATACCTCTATACCTTGGTCATCACAAAGAAAAGGCAGAGAAATTAAAGCAGTCCCTGCCTCCCAGTTTGGCAGTGAAGGAACTGAAGTAAATCAGACATAGTGATTTGAACTGTGTTTAAAAAAAAAAAAAAAACCCAAAAAAATGGTAACCTTGGGGATAGGGGTACGCTCAGTGGCAGAGTATACACATAATGTATACTAGTCTGTGGATTCAGTCCCTAGCACTAAAAAAGCCAGAGTAAGAATCAATATGGGCTGGGGATTTAGCTCATTGGTTCTGCTGCCTGCCTCACCAGCACAAGATCTCGAGTTCGATCCCCAGTACCAAAAGAAAAAAAAAATCTTATTCACCCCCACCATGTGATGTAGGAATGGATCCTAAAGTGTTCAAGGCTTCCTGACCAGTATTTTAATTTGTACAATCAAAAGTTGTCTTTTATTACTTTTCCTACCTACCTTTCCCGTTTAACACAAAATAGTAAGCAGTCACTTGTTCAGGTGACACATTGTTTATCTTTAGTAGCTATTTTGCAGTTAGGTGGGGTAAATTTGCTCAGAACTCCCACAGGATATGAATCATTTACAATGACAGATTGACCTATTCTCACTTTGTTCTTTCTGAGAAGAGTTTTAATACAGCTTGTATTACATGACATAGGAAATATGTCGTCATTTATATTTGCAGCATCATTCTCAATTTTCAGAATGGATGGTAAACCAGAGAGCTTGAGTTGCCATGATGAATATCTAGTGTAAACTATGGAATAAATCCAAAAAAGCCTTATCAGCCATTTACATAAACTGTCTGAGGTTTTTGGATTTGGGGAATGAACATGGACTAGGGGACAGCAAAGCACAAATGGCAACAGCGAAGCCTCCAATTGTTGGTCTTTTTAAAAATTGTGGTGAAACTTTCACAACTTTCAACTTGTTTCTGTAAATTACTTTCCTAAAATATTTTGTCTTAAATAAGTGGCATTTAGTTGGCATTTAGAATTAATCAGAAAGACCAAGCCCGTGCATATAATCTCAGCCCTGGGAACACTGAGTTTGAGGCCAGCTTGAACTATAAAGTAAGACCACTCCACCCAAAAAATAATCAGGAAGGATAATGGTAGTGAATAGATTGTTCTGGGGAGACTTATTCTTGATAAATGAATGTGAATTACAAGTAATGGTGAATGCTGAAGCTGAAAATTTTTGAATTGCATTATCTCTATACCAAGAATATATAAAAGAGAAAGGAAGATAATGGCCTTATGCTGCATCTATAAGAGGTACTATACTGGGGATGTAGCTCAGTGGCGCCACACCTGCCTCACAAGCCTGAGTTCCTGAGTTCAATCCCCAGTACCAAAAAAATAAGAGGGGTAGTATTTTTGGATTTTGAACATTGTCAAGAAATAAAGACATTGAAAGGTATGTAACTGAAATGGAAAAAGAAAAGCATGGAAAGAAAAAATGAGCGTTCAGCAGAAGCTGACCACAAGCCTATGTAGGGCTGTTGTCTCTCAAGCTGTGGTCACTTCCTCTCCACTGCAGAATTTAACATGAAAAAATATATTTGTTTTAGTATTTGCTTTATCTCTGTATCTTACAAGTGTTCAGGTAAACAAATTCTGATATCTTTAAATATAGCAAACCATCGAAAGGAAATAGTGTTATACTTGTTATTTATGAAACTAGCTGTGGCAAACCACTCCTAAGGCAGCTTAAATTGATTGAATCAATGCTAGGAATTCAAGTTAAATATGGTGTTTACCCCACTTTTTTCACGAAATAAACTGTTTTGGGATTGCAAAAAATGTACTTTGTCACACAAAATTGGTCAGACTTACGGTGTATATGTATGTTCCTTGAATTGCATATAGTGGCGGGATGGTGCCAAACAGCATTCACCCTGATGAGTAATATCTGTCTTGGTTAGATCATTCTTATCGTACTGGTGTCTTTTTCTGTTTCCTTATTCAGTTATGCTGTAATTGCCTATGGTTGTGCCAGCTGCCCAAAGCTAACCTGTGAGAGGGAAGGCTGCCAGACTGAGTTCTGCTACCACTGCAAGCAGATATGGCATCCAAATCAGACCTGCGATATGGCCCGTCAGCAGAGGGCACAGACACTGCGAGTTCGGACCAAACATACTTCAGGTCTCAGTTATGGACAAGAATCTGGACCAGGTATAAGTTGGCATTATTTCATTGTCTCTTTATTTGGTATTTCATAATGTGAACCTAAAGTTGGAAGGGATTATGTTATTGTATGACCTCAGTATTCTTGCATTCCAAGAACAGAAAATATCATTTGGTTCTACTTTTTTTGTTTTATTTGTTACCAGGGATTGAACTTGGGTCCTTGCACTTGTGAGGTGGGTGGCGTGACCTCTGAGCTAAATCCCTGGCCTGGTTCTTTTTTTTTTTTTTTTTTTAATGCCATGCTAGGGTTATTGAACCCATATACTCTACCTCTGTGCTACATTGCCAGCTGTTGCCAGCTTTTTTGTTGTTGTTGTTGTTGAGATAGAATGTTGTCCAGGCTGTCCTTGAACTCCTAGGTTCAAGCAGTCCTCCTGCCTCAACCTCCTGAGTAGCTGGGCCACAGGCATACCTTTTTTTTTTGGAGGGTGGAGGGGTCGAGGATCTCACTGTGTAGTTTAGGGTGGTCTTAAACTCAGTGTGTATCACAGGCTGGCCTTGAACTCTAGGTGACCTTCCTACCTCGGCCTCCCAAGTGCTGTGATTGCAGATATGTGCCCTCATGTCCAGCTTGTACTTTTAATAATACATTTAATCTATATCCCTCCTTTCTGACCATTATAGGTTATCCCAGCCACATAAAATTGAAATAAAACAAAATTGGATTCTCATTTGGTTTCTTTCTTTTTTAGGAATAGATCTTGGATTGGAGAACAATTAGGTCCTTTTGTGAGGGTCTTTTTCAGCACTTTCACTGTGAGCAGAAAGACATTTAGATAATATTAAGCCTGTACTGTTTGCCTTCTACCTTAAAGTGCATCAGTGCTTTTGGACATAGAGTATAGATTTTAGAAAAGGAAATACCAGTAGAGATTAATGATTAACCTTAAAAAGAGGCTGTCGTACTTTCAGTTCCAGCCTTCACAGTTACAGTGAACCCATTTTAAAATGTCAGTGGATTTATTGTCTTTTATGATGTACCTTAATTTCACTGATGTGATTTGGGAGAGGCTGGTAAGAAAGATTTTGCCATTCACTTTTCCTGGCACGCAAATTTTCCTAAATTATCATTTTAATAGGATATTTTCTAGCTTGCTGTGAAAATTATCAGGTACATGCTGCATAGCATATCCAGTAGTTTTAACATTTTGCATTTAAAGGTATCATGAGAAGAAGCAGTGATACATACCTGCAGTCCCAGCACTTTGAGACACTGAGACATAAAGATCACAAGTTCAAGTCCCATCTAGGCAATTTATTGAGACTCGTGTCAAAATTAAAAGGGCCAGGGGCCGGGGATTTAACTCAATGGTTCTCATAAGTGCAAGGTCCGGGGTTCAATCCCTGGTAACAACAAAAACAACAAAAAAGTTAAAAGGGCCAGGGATGTAGCTCAGTGCAAAGGCCCTGGGTTCAATCCCTGGTACCTAAAGAGGGTATGGGGTGGGGGAGTATGATGGAAAGACTGGACTGTGTTAATAGCAAATCACAGGGCCAGGGGTTTAGCTCAGTGGTGCTGTCGCCTGCTTTGTAAGCACAAGGTCCCAAGTTCAATCCCCGGTACCAAAAAAAAAAGCAAATCACAATATTTGTTGAACCTGAAAGTTAGTGTACTGAACTAACAGTTATCAAAATTGAAAGCCAAACCAGGTGTGGTGGTGCACACCCATAATCTCAAACTACTCAAGAGGCTGAGACAGGAGAACCACAAGTTCTAGGCAGACCTGGGTAATTTAGAGAGAGGAGACTATCTCAAGATAAAAGTAAAAAGGGATGGGAATGTAGCTTAGTGGTACAGCATCCCTGGGCTCAATCTCCAGTCCCACAACCTCAAAAAAACTTGAAGCAATCCCAGACTGCAGACTGCTCTTGTCATAAGACACTGCTTTTAAATCTGCAAGCCTGTTGGCTGATGGAAATTCTATTTTCTTAGAACCATTTTTCTTTCTAGGGAAGTCTGTTGTTCAAAGTGTGACTCAAGTGCTATATTAGATGTCAGTTACTGGATAGGCAGCTCAATTTGAAACAAGATCTGTTTTATGAAAATCCCTGTGCTCTGGACTAGCCAATCTTTCAGGAAAGAGTGTTGCATACTTTGGAATTTTCAGTCAGGAGTTCTTGACTGCTTCCTCATTTCCTGTATGTGCTCTTGGAAATAACTAAGTCAAACTAGGTATAACTGGGGGTGTTTTTCTACCCATTCTTCCTTCCCCTCTTAGCAGATGACATCAAGCCATGCCCACGGTGCAGTGCTTATATTATCAAGATGAATGATGGAAGCTGTAATCACATGACATGTGCAGTGTGTGGCTGTGAATTCTGCTGGCTTTGTATGAAAGAGATTTCAGACTTGCATTACCTCAGGTGAGATAGGAAATGTGTCCTTTGTTTTTGTGGTATCATCTTAACCCATTTTGGAAAAAAGATGTCAAAAAAAACAGGTCGCTCATTACAGAATAGGAAGCTGTAAAAAAGTCCTTTTACACTCCCCTCTGTTCATGTTTTCCCTAGTTTAGCAACCTCCAGGGATTGTTTCCATTACCTTCTAGAGCATGTCTCCCTCACCCCTAGCATGGCTTTGAAGGTTTACCACAGTCTGGCCCTAATCTCCTTTTCTAGTCATGCTGTATTTCATATAATCTGGGCTTGTTGTGTTCTGTGTCTCTTTTTGTTATCTTGCCTCTATTTCATCCATCATTCTCATTTTTTGCCTCATTCTTGACTGGCATTCCTTTATTGCTTTCATTATAAATATCATCACTACTTTGTGTATATGTCTAATTCTACTAAACTGTAGTTTATTGCCTATAGTGAGTTTCCAAAATACTGTTCTACAGTTAATATTTATAAACAAACTTGGTATTCATTTTGTGGATGAAAACACCTCATTTCCAATTTACATTTGAGTACTTACTATGTAACAGTCACTGGGGACACAGGAGTGAATATGACATGATTCCTACTTTCAAAATTGCCTCTCCTGTCAAGTATAGAAGATAGCACAAGGGGAATGAGGAACAAAGGATCAAGCACAGAAGAGTTGAGTGTAAAAGTGTCCAAACTCAGAGTATCAAACTGATATAAAGAATATGATGAACAGCTGGGCATAGTGGTGCAAACCTGTAATCCCAGCACTCAGGAATTTGAGGCACGAATATTACTGTTAGTTCGAGACAAGCCTGGGCTACATAATGAGTTCAAGGCCAGGCTGGACTACATAGCAGAACCCAGTCTCAAACCCCCCCCAAAAAATATGAGCTTTTTATATCTTTTCCTAAGAACATAGTTTGTGGTATCTGTTAGGTGTGGTAAGACTTATGCTAAGAGACTGAACAGTTGGATTGTTCATTGGATGCTGGGCACAGTGCATTTAAATGAAATGTCAAATGCACAGGCTATGCAGAATCCCATGTTTCAGTCAAGAAGCTGGACACACGTGTAAATACCAAATAGTTTCTCTGGTGTGAAAAACTAAAAGTGTAAATAAGATTCAAATGGTATAATTGATAATGTGAAATAGGAAGACAAGATCTAAAGGAGTAGGGGAGGTAGGAAGGGTAGGGGAAAGGAAAGAAGGAAAAAGAAAAAATATGAAAAATGGAAACAAAATCTTTGTAAACAGGGAAGAATGGAAAGGGTGAAGGGAGGGCAGGGGGTTGGGGAAAAAATAAGAACCAAGGTACAACATATAAAGGTACAAGATCCCAACAATGAATGTAACTGTATTGTATACCTAAAATGTACCAATAAACTTAATGGAGGAAAAAAAAAAGAAGATGCTGGACCAGTATTAGTAGGTCAAGGAAGATAAGAGTTCAGCTGAGAAGAAGGAAAAGAAGCTTCAGTTTTGGAGACCTGTCTTTACAAAAAGAAATAAAGAGCTGCTAGGTATGGTAGTGCCCACCTATAATCTCAACACTTGGGAGACTGAGGCAGGAGGATCACCATGAGTTCAAGGCCAGCCTGGGCTACATAGTGAGTTCAAGGCCATCTTGAATTATATAGTGAGACCCTGTCTTACAAAGTAAATCGCCAAGAGCTCTAATAGTCAAGTCTTGTCCTTTGCCCTCTCGTGTAATATATTTGTTTCCCGTCACCTCTTGTAAGTTAATCAGTCCTGTTGAAAAGAAAGCTGTTGTTCTTATCAAGCCCTCTGGTGGCAATAGCTGTGTGTGTAAATTGACATTAACTTCAGCATGTTTCCTCTGTAGTCCCTCTGGCTGTACGTTCTGGGGCAAGAAGCCCTGGAGCCGGAAGAAGAAAATTCTTTGGCAGCTGGGCACATTGATTGGTGCTCCTGTAGGGATTTCTCTCATCGCTGGTATTGCCATTCCTGCCATGGTCATTGGCATCCCTGTTTACGTCGGAAGGAAGGTAAGATGTACTGAGTTTGGTGCTTGTTCCACCATCAAGTTTGTTGGCAAAGGTTTGAGGAAAATGAGAAAAAGCTTATATTTATTTTAGAGCTCTCTGAAAACCAGCTGCTTCTTAGCTAAAAATAACTTTAATAAGTGGATTTTTTTTTTTAAAAACCCATAAGATTTGAAAGTTCTTATTAACATCCTGAGCTTGGCTTGTCTCTTTGACTGAAAAGTGAAATGCTTACTTCATTCCTCTGAATTATTTTGCCTCTGTTTGGATTAACTTCTTCTGTGCAGTTTATATATTCCTTGTCTGAGTTAGATTAAAATAGAGAAAGACGCCGGGCGTGGTAACGCACACCTGTAATCCCAGCACTCGGGAGGCTGAGACAGGAGGATCACTGTGAATCCAAGACCAGCCTGGACTACATAGTGAGTTCCAGGTCAGTCTCAACTACATAGTGAGACCCTGTCTCAAAAAACCAAAAAAAAAAAAAAA